AACATTTAATTTTAGCTTGCTTTCAAGCAAGGTGGGGAGAAGCATGGTGGGTGTTTAAAGTGTAAACCCTACTAATTCCATTGAAAATCTGATCGAGGAGTCATTAGAGACTTTGACCAATTCAATCGATGGTAGTAAAAAATTTTTGTGCGTTAAAATTTACAAGTGACAAAGAATCTAAAATAATCCGGGAACTCAAGACTTGAGATTATTAAAAAAAAAAGAAAAAGAAGAAGATGTAAATAGAAATTCCTTGAATTGTGGGAAAGTGGACACGCCACAACAATTGGCTGTTGGATCATCATCATTCATATTAAGTCAAAACATACAACAACAACCGACTTAATCATTGCTTTCTTAGCACGTAATGATCTCTCATAATTACGATTTTATGCTTACCTGCACACACTCTCACAGTATCTCTAACTGAGATACCAATAACATGTGCGCTCAAATTTTTTATTATTTAAGATCCTTATAATATATATTCGATTTTTCTTTTGAAGAAAAAAACAAATTAAATGAAAATAGATACGAGATCATATACCTAAGATTATAGTACCAAAATAAGTGTACGTTTTTGAGAAATTGTTGAATAAAGTTTACTCAACTAATTGAGAAATTTATATGAATTTTTTTATGGATCACTGTACTAGAAATTATTCAAGTTCATAGCACACTGACTCAATTTGCGATTAATTTAAATAAGTTTTAGTTTTTCTTGAGTCATCACAAACTCGTTATCTCATTAATGTTATGATTAGTAGTGTTTGTATAATCTGATCTGTTGACTATAGAAATAAATTAAAAATAAAAACGAAAAAAGAAATAGAATAATTAAAGAAAGTTACTAGGTGACGGCAACGTTCATAGAGGCACGGCAAATGATCGAAAGTCAAAACGCCAGCTTACTTATTTCTATATTGAGCAAGTGCACATGTGCCCATGACTACTTGATTTTATTTATTCAATTTTTCAAGTATAGTCATTATTCAAATGTACGTATCATGTAAATTTCGCCCAAGTATAATAATCTCTAATTCATGCAAAAGAGGTAAATCACATTACGAAGGTCTTGTGTGATAGACTCAACTAAAAAGATATTGACAAAAACAGAACTCATAACCGACATATATATATAAGAATTATACTACACCTCCTTTCGAGGCTATTTTATTTTATGTATATGTGTGTGTGTGTGGTGAATGGATTTATATATACAACATCATTGCCAACTAGCTAGTATGTACTATGACGATATCTCTATTGCCCTTTCAAATGAGTAGTAATAGAATTAAATCCTGATAGGGGAAACTTTGATTCTTTAAACTGAAAAAAGATGAAAAATATAGAACATATATTACTTTATAAAAAGCCATGAGTATTTAAAAAAAAAAAAATACAAACAATATCTTTGCCTACATTACATCGTTTGGATGCAAATGTTCGAACTGATTCAACAACGATAAACGATTAGACATATATTGAGACCAGAAAACTGACGAGACAATTCACAATTTCTCTCGTTTAACGTCTCTTGAGCAAGAGTTATGCGGTCTTAAATTACTATAAATTAAGATACCTAAATACATATATTCGAAATTTAGTTAATATTGAGGATGAGGAGCCTGAGGAGAGAGATATGAGTTGATGAAACGAAAAAATGACGAGATGATAAAACGGGGGCCCTGGGATTGTAAGACGAGAAATAATGGTCCTCGTACGTGTAGCAAAACCACGTGGCTAGCTGCATCAGAGTGCGTAGAAAATCAGAAAAGCTACACTTTATTTTTCTCCTCCACCTTCTTATTATTTCTATATATATATATATATATATATATATATATATATATAGAATAACAACGGCAAAATTCATCCGAAATCAGAACACACAAATAAAAGGAGGACTTTTTATCCACTCCATGCGATTGGCATTAACAATTGACTCTCTAGCTAACAAATAAATGCACAGTACTATTAGCGGATCGCTTTACAAACGAGATAAATACATTATAAAAATGATTAATCATATCTTTTAAATCAAGAAGTATAAGATCAAAGAAAGAGTTGTAGCCTATTGATTAAAGCCCTTGAACAACTTGAAGAGCATCTGTTTCAATAATAACACAGTTAAGATTACGGTCCTTATTTCTAAATAACTAACTTCTAAAAATTCAAAACATTTGTGAATATACATGCAAACATTACTTCTATTCAAATCCAATTTACTTCAACATATTCGTGTGGCATATGTATATAAATAGTTATGATAGAGTCTAAATATATAGCGCGTGATACTCAATAAAATTATATAATTTTATTATTTTTAATGGTATGAAAAATACATATCTACTCGTCACAAGACAAGAATGTGTGTGTGATGCTGGTTTGTGGGTATGTAGTAAAGGATTTTTGTGTTGTTACCATCTATCATATCTAAAAAGAAAATAGAAATCAACTTTAAAAAAATAACCACTTTCTAATTACTTGGTAGGATCAAATTACTGCATTCTTTTTCATTTTCTATAAGGCACTAGGAGGAGCAAAACAACACTAAAGTAACATCTAATAGTTCTATAATGTACAAACTTTTTATTTGTAGATCATTTTCACCCTCATTCTATTACCTAAATACCAACTAAACTGTCTATTGTGATCATTTTTAGCTCATTTTCAAAATAAGAAATATCACTAAAACTGTTAATATAAAACAGATAAGCTCAACCCATACGATGAGTTGACCCATAATTGGCCAACAAGAAATGAGACGAGACAGACCGAGATGGGTCACCCCACTTTTTTATATGGGTTGACAAAATTGTAACCCAACCCACCTAGTAGCGGCTGCGCTGGTGGGTTGAAAGCACATTTTGATTATATAAATCTATACTACTAATAAAAACAAAATCCTATTTTAACAACTTCCCGCCAAAATTACTTCCCAAGCTATATTACTATATAAAATCTAATAATTATTATGGTAAATAAAAGCTCAATAAATGTGACAAGTTTTATATACATATTTTTTTTTACTTAAGGTATAATAGTATAATTGCACAATATTAGTATATTTATCTAATAATTATTATTGTAATTAAAGAATTAATTGCACAGATATTAGTATAATTGACTAATAATTATTATGATAATTAAACTAATAATTAGCATAATAATATTATAATTATAATTAAACATGGGTTGTTGGATTTTTTTAGTATAATTGCACAATATTAGTATAATCACTACTTATCACCTAATAATTATTATGGTAATTAAGAAATTAATTGCACATGTATTAGTATAATTGACTAATAATTATATTAATTAAGTTAATAATTACACAGATAATTAATATAATTACAATTAAACATGGTCTTTAGATTTTTTTCTAATAATTACAATTAATTCATTCAAATATGAAGATGATGGAAAAATAAATGCGATATGATGGAAAGGAATATACTTAAGATATAAAAATATAATTGCACATATATTAGTATAATTGCCTAATAATAATTGTCTAATAATTATTGTGGCAATTAAGCTAAACATGGGTTGTTGTATTAATTTTTATAATAATTATAATTAAATTATTTTTTCCTTTTTTCCATATTTATTTTTGTAATAATATAATTACATAAATAAATCATATTTCATATTGATTTTTTAAGATAATTGCAGACAAATGAGACATATATTATTATTAATAATTAATTGAGTGATACTTTTGCATTAATCTGATAATCAAATAAATACACACTTCCAAATATTAGAATTATTTATAATTTCATCTTTAATTTTATTATTATCTAAATATATAATAAAAAAATGTATGCATGCATTGCACGGGTAATTGGGCAATTATTTTGCTTGAATTCAAGCAAGGATAACATTAGAAAACATAATGGATCCAATCCATTTCATCAAACTGCACTATATAATATTTGTTGTTATAATTTATATTTGTATATTGATGCTGACCCAAGACAAGAGGAAAATGACTAATCAGAATGTGGTGGTTTCTTATCCGAAATCCGTCGTCACCGGCATAAGGGTGGCGGTGCCGAAGCCATTTCATTTCCGCATGCGGTACCAAAACTGCTGCCCGCCTGAGCGGGGAATTTTATTTTCATTCCCCGCCCCTGCAGGATCAATGCATTGTTCGAATCCATGAGGGATTCCTTGCCAACCCGAAGATCCTCCAAGTTTGACGATGCTAACAAGTCTTGGATTGTGAGTCTGATTTCGAAATTCATATATACTCCCTAGCTTCCTCACCTTGCAATTTAATTAGTAGACCTTAAGGATTAAGTTTTATTATTTTTTGGATGGAACAGTTGAGTCATCCGTATGCTATAAGCATGTTTGATGATATAGTGAATTCCCTGAAAGGGAAGAAGATCGCCATGTTTCTTGATTATGATGGCACTCTTTTCCCATTGTGGAAGACCCTGACAAAGTTTCATGGGCCCCAAGGTTGGTTCAACAATAGAATTGTTATTTACCATTTCATCTTTAATTTTGGAACGATGACATTATTTTAGGAAGACTAAAAAGGAAAGTAAGACAGGTAAAATGGGACGGGAGAGTATAATAAAAACTTATCCGTACATCGTACGCGTATTGCACAGGTAATTGTGTAATATTCGTTGTTATAATTTATATTTGTATATCCATCTAAATATTTTAAAAATATTATAACAAATTCATTCCGTGCAACGCACGGGTGAAAATACTAGTTGAATTAAAAAAAACAAAATGAAACATGACTAAAATGTGAGAACATTTTTTGGCAAAAATAGCGAAGGCAAAAGTATTGTAAAATTTTCTAACATACACACACGTTATATGTGCATATACTTTAGCAAGAATATTAGGTGATAGATCCATACAGACATAAAAAGTAAGGTCAGCAAGTTAAAACTAACCGCTATATATTATTATTATTATTGTTAGGGATAAAGGTGATAGATTAGGAAGAATGAATAAAAAAAGAAAATGATTATATACGTGAAAAACACACATCATATATTGTCGTATTGAAGCTGGATCATATCAGTAGGATTTCTATTCCATTGGGACGAAGCTAAGATATATGGAAGAGAGAAGGATATAATCTCCATCAGAGTTAGTGTGCATCGGATCCTTCGCCTCTATGTTGAAACCTTCAACCTTCTCCAACTGCCCCCTTTCTCTCTCTTCACCTCTCTTTCTCTCTCTCTCTCTCTCTCTTCAAAAGCAGTAGCTCAGAGAAGCTGCACTTCCAAATTATATTCCAGAAAATGAAACCTCACTCCCAGAACCCATAAAGATATGTGAGTGCTTGCTGCGATATATATAATTCTCTCTCTCTCTCTCTCTCTCTCTCTTGCTGCAATCCAAACACGTTCTGAGCTGTCTTTTGTTCTGTTTCGCGTTTGCGTAAACCTTGATGTACTCGAAACTGGATCACGTATTGGGTATTATGTCAGAGCGTCAGGATTTCCACCCCAAGAAAGATCAAGAAAAGGAGATCCAATCCGAAATCCAGATCCGACCCGCTTCCCACGATCCAAAAGGGTGCCCCACCGTCGCACCAAGTCGTCATCTTTCCCAGCTCCAAGAATTACACGTCGCCGGCGCCGGCGGCGATGGTGGTGAAGACGACGACAACGACAACCGGAAAGATCAGAAAGAAGTGATCGAACCCGGTATTTCGACCCGACCCACGTCGCAAGACCCAGAAGGGTGCCCGGATGTTCCTCCGACAAGCTCGCATCATCTTTCGGAGCTCCGAGGTTTTCGAGAACTTCGAGGAGAGGAGGAGGGTGAGAAAGAGCAGCAGCTCGGAAAGTCCGAGGTAGCAGAAGACGACGATGGGTTCAGAACTCCAGATTCTTTGGAACACAGAATCCCAGTGATCACAGCGTGCCCGCCAGCACCCAAGAAAACCCGGCCCAAGATTTCACCGGCAAAGAGAAGTCGAACAACCGCCGAGCTGCTCGACCTGTCGGACGAGGTTGAATCGCTGTGTTCTCCGTCGAACACCAAGATAAAGAAGTTCAAGAAAGAAGAAGACGACGGTTCAGAATTATGAATGAAAATTCTTTACCAGTATATTTCTATGTGGTAAGACATTAAAATTTCTGTATAAATGAATTTATTTTTCTTATACCAATGTTAATTAGTAAGTATATTCTACTGCCATGAACAAATACATATAGATCTTTAATTTTCTTTAATTTAAAAATAATAATAATATTATTACTAATATTATTATTATTATTATTATTATTTATTATATATTATTATATATTATTGTTGCTGCAATTATTTATTTTGGAAAATCTAGATCTTAAATTGTAGATTTTGTAAAGCAAAAGTGGAGAAGTAAAGATCAAGAAACTAGAAAAGAAATGGACCAATCTTCTTTTGTAATCAAGGTGTTATGTTGTTCAAAAAAGTAGAGAAAACATAGTCTACAGAAATTAAAACCTTTTTTTTTTGGTTTTTTTTTGGGTATCTTTTTTAAGATTTTGTTGTATAAATATGATAATTCATTGCAATTAGCATGCTGGGATTTTTCTTAATTAGTGCTGAGTATTCTTAAATCTTAATCATCATGGTACAGATTTGGAGGTGTGTTTTAATGTTAAACTAAGTATGTTTCCCAAGGTGGCAAACATCCTTCATGATGGATTCTCCCCACTGGCTGACACAAGTTAAATGTTTATGGGAATTACAGCCCTAAATGATACTTTCTATGGTACAGGAAATACCAACTAGCTAGGCTGTTACTTACTATGCAATATTAAATTTACAATGTTTAAATTTTTTTTTTAATCATCTGTAAATTTGATAACACTACACAAAGTTTTCTTGTTCAATTTAGGGTTTAAAATAATAATACTTATTATTATTATTATTATTATTATTATTATTATTATTATTTTTTGAGTAGTATTACTGACTCTGTTATAATGTAGTATCTGTTCATAACTATTTTCTCAACCTACTGAAACACAAAGAGTAGTTAATATCGCCCCCATTGGAGAACGAACTCATGACCTCCCATTTGGGAGAGTCATTTGGTGCTTATTATTATTTAGTTGTTTTTCAATAGGATTTCAAAAAAGAATGAGAGTTTTTTTTTTTTTTTTTAATTCGTTTATGATTTGAATCCCATTTCAAGGTGACACGGAAAAAAAAAAATAATAATATGCTATCTACTACATATGACTGTATTAGTATATATGGATTAAAAAAAGTATGATAGCATATATACATATATGGTAGTGGTATAAATATATTTTGTATTTGATAAAAATATTTTTAATGTTATTTTGAAATTATAATTTGAAAAAATGTATAGTACGTACCATTATATTCAATACAGTAAAAAATTCCTATATTGGTGTCAGTTTGTTTGGGTATACCAACTCTGACTTCGAAATCATGTGTTATGAATGCATTTTGTCGGACAAAAGTGTTCTGTTCGCGAAAAGAGAGATAAAGAAAACCCTCATTATAAATTTAAACATTTTTTAAACTAAACGAGAAAAAATCATGACTATTATCTTATAACTAACACCCGCTCATATATATAATAAATCTTATGGGATGGATTTCATCAAAAAATTGTTAGTAAAAATATAATTAAATTAATTTATGACTTGTAGAATAATCATGTTTAATCAATTCAGTCACTATTTCGTGACTAAACAGAAAACATATACTGATGAAACATCTGCATCCCATGTTAAACCATGTCATGCATGCATGTGCATTTACAATGGAAGCCGTTTCGTTGCTTTCATGCATTTATAGCACCTATAATTATATTGCTCCATATATGTCCGATTCCGATGACATGTTTTGTATGTAAACCAAGAAGATGGACAAAATATATTTGTTTCTTTTTGGTATATCATACGAATTTTATTTTGGGGTGTTCGGTAACTAGCTGTTAGCTGATTGAGTTAGTAGGTTTGACTAGTTGATAGCATTAACTGATTGTAGAAAGGTGTTTGGTAAATTAGACGTTAGCTGACAGCTGATTACATGCAAAATGATTCTCAAAAAACTGTTCGAAAAAGCTACTTTGAGCAGCTTTTTGAATAAGTATTACAAAAAATTAATTAATTAAATACTTATATTGACGGTTTAACCAAATCAAAGATAACTATGTTATCAAACAGGGTCTTTATAATTATTTTTTAAAAAAAGTGTTAGAGAAGAAGGAATCTTAATTATATATTTTTGAATGCTACTGACTCTATTACAATATTTTTTTGGAATGGAAGGAAAATTCTGTCTTGTGATTCTAGCAGACAAAGGACCACACGGAAGTAAACTAGCCTAAATTATCCATAGTTATTGGCCGGCTAAAATCAAGAAGGCCAATAAATCATTCTTTCTAGATGTTGAACTTAAAAATGTGATTACTAAGTAAACAATATAACCAACTTGATTGGAATTACTCAAATTGTATTTAAGATATTATATATTGCTTAGAGGAAGAAAGAGGAAAAGATATGATCGACGGTTTTTTAGGGATGTGTGTAGGTTGTTAGTTTTAAGTTTCAACAGATAGTGATGGCTATAATCTGTATCAAAGTCAAACTGTTTTTTTTTTAAAAAAAATAAAATAAAAATTATTCTGAAATTGGAATTGAAACTAGAAAGTAAAAATGGGTGATGATATGATGATGGTTTAGTGGAATCCAATGAAACTTTGCTTAGACTTTTGCTATCTTAAATTTGTTTCATCATTTGTTGTTAGTTACATATATGTCATGCCACAAAAGGAATCCTCAATTTCAGCCATCCATTACTGCCTGCCCAAACTCTGATGATTATTCATAATTAAACCCTTTTTATCTAAGTTGGAAATTCATAATTCAAAATTACATTTGTTTTTTTTTTCCTTTAAAAAAAATAAAATTTTACAAGGAAGTGTTCTTATCTAAACCATTTATTTATATATATATACTCAAATAAAATCATGAACAATACGTGCATATATATATATATATATATATATATATATATATATATATATATATATATATATATATATATATATATATATATATCTTATGAATTAATGCTCTAAGCATGAGGTGTTAAGTCGTGAGCAACTAACATTGAAACTGTGTGCATACACATTAATTACTAATTTCATGTTTTGTAAATTGTTAACGTGGCTTCTAGATTAACACACACAATGGTCTTAGAAGAGTTGAAATTGAGAATAACACTTTATATATTCATCATTCTTAAAATTAAAAATTAAGGGATAATGATGTCCTTGACCTTCAAGTTAATTCATTTTCATCTTCTTTAATTTGAGCTATTAGAGCTAATAAAGTTAGATCCCTCACGAAAACTAAAATATATTGGTGTATTTATATTATTTGTTGAAATAAATGGTTCATATTATTTAATTTCAGTATTCTTTTTAAAATTATTTTTGTTACTTTACCATATATTATATCATTTAATTTTTTAAAATATCGTTATATTCTATCAGTGTAAACTAGCTAACTTTAGTAATAGAATATTCTGTTAACTATTTATTATTCTCAACTTACTCATTGATTTTAATAAGAAAGCTCTTAGGTTCGAACTCTATCCCAATCAAAATTGACATAATTATTAAACATATACTAGGAATATGTTAGATTGTATTTAAAAATACAATATAAAATTTAACATGACATTTTGTTAATTAATTAGAATCACACATTGGGTACTGATGAAACGGTAACCTAATTTACAACATATATTCAACACATATGAGAAACTATGTCTATCATCATTGTCTTTTTGGGGAAGGAGGATTTGGTTTTGTTTTTGAAGGTGCATTGCGCCAATGCACTAAAATTGCAATGAAGCACACTAGGGCCGGGACTAAATTAAATCAGGAATTAATTCATGGTGGAAGTGACAACAAGAGGAAGCATGGATCACGCCAATTAATAGGTTTTGTGTTGCAAAAATTAATCTTGAGTACTATCCATTGAGGGTGTTTCCCTCTAAAACTGTTATTGCAGTGGTTAATTTTATGAAAAATTATGTCACAGATCATAGTTATGCATTTTTGAAATATTTACTTTTCTGAAAAATTTGATAATCTTGCATTGATATACGTCAGGATATTGAATGATACTTTGATAAATTCTGAAACACTAATTTAAAAATACACATTGGACATTACTCATGGTTGCAGTAGGCGCTAGTCGGGTGCCTGGGCAGCGCCTAGCACCTAGGCGGAATCTAGACAGGCACCAAAAAAATAATTGCAGACTTGCAGTTTGACAATATTAATGAGGCTATTTTCAACATTCAATCAAATAACACATCCAAATAAATGAAATAATGATAATTCATAAGTAATAACATCAAAACAATATTAAAAATTAAAAATACTCAAATACTTCAATCATCCAAAGATTCAAAGTATCAAATTAGTCTACGGACGTCTGGACCAGACGACATCGGACAAAATCGGATGAAATCGACCGACTAGGCCGATTTCGCCGCCTAGGCGCCCGACCAATTTTTGGGCGACTAATAGTGAAAGCGGAATGGCCTAGGGACGCCTAAAGTCTAAGCCAATTTTTACAACAGTGGACATTAGACTATTCACGCAATATGCATGTGGTAACTAGTTTTATTATACGTTAGTGAAATTAACCAATTCACGACGCCGAATAAATTTTAGGAGGTAAAGAAAGCATTATATTTTGCATTTTAAAATTAGTTTATAATCAAATATAGATAGTTTCTGAGTCAGATTGCGGTGAATGATTTTACATTCCGCCTATCTTTCTTGTCGACAGTCTTGCTTCTGATTTAATGAATTAAACCTTTTATCTAAAAAAAAAAAAAAAGTTTATAATCAAATATAGATAGTTTAAGAAAGCATATTAATTAGTCACGTAACATCAACGTTCAGGTGGATGAGAAGTCATAGAAAAGTCAAGGATATATGCACCACCCGTGGGCATGATTTGACTATATATACGAGGGTTTACTAGCTACCCTTTAATTTCCAAGGTTTAGGTTTAGGTACAACAAATGAGATGAAGATTGAGTTCGTGCATGCAGCCACGCATTAATAATTTCAACATGTAGCAAAGGAATCCAAGATAAGACGCTTCAATTCGTGTTAAGTACATTATTTTTCCTAATAAAATGAATTGAATCCCCACACCCCCTACCGGTAACTTAATTGGACTATAGAGGCTAGATCTTTATTTAGGCTCCTCACTTTGAAAGGTTGCTTTCACACACTGTCGCTGATAAAATTCGATCCCTGATCATTATTCTCAAACTTCACCCCTATAACCAGAGTTGTCCATGCGGGCATTAAGTACATTATTGTTCACATTCAAAAGTGCATCTTTGGAATTAATTAAGATATATACGATATCAACATTGTTTAGGTGATGATCCGCTTGCTAATTAATTAGTCAACTCCAAATAATTATGGATTGTGAGTTCACGCTCGATCGGAGATATGTTAGTTGAAGACTTGTTTTGCAATTAATCCTACTGCATATATAGTGCCATGCAAATTATCATTATTGTTAGGTAGATTATAGCGTGTTTAGGTAACAACATTGTCAAATGTAAAAGGATTATATTACAATATACTTCTATACATCACCCTAACTTCACCACAAAAGCGATAGCAGTATTAATATAAAATCATATTATTGTCCTCTAGATGGCTCACTTTTTGAGTTTTCGAACTCTTTTCGGCACTAGTTAGCTTTTTTTTTTTTTTTTTTTTTTTTCTTCTTCTCCCTTTGGACGACTTCACTCCAAACCATATATATCAAGTACCATGTAGCCCTTTCCTAGGTCACTC